GAACCCTCCCCTCAGAAAAGTTGGTAAAAAAGCGCACTACTGGGGGCCCCAGAAAAGGGCCACCCCCAAGGCAGACATAAACCCCGAATTTCCCGTTGAGGAAATCCACCCCTGGGTGTCTGGATTTGAGCCTCGGGGTAATCCCATTTTTTGGACCCTCCAAGAGGAAATGGCTTCCATTGAGCAGCGCACCCCCCACCCCAAGAAAACAAAAAATACAAACAATAACTAAGGGTTTGGTTCCAGCATGGGTATGCAGGTCATATAGCTTTTGCTGTAAAATCCCCCCCGGAACCGGGTACTACAGGTACTACCGGTAGAACCCGCCCAAACTTCAGATGGCCAAGGGGGTGTTGGGGCGCCGCCGACAAGTGCTCAGACTCGGGGCATGGCACATCTTGCGTGTGGAGGAGCTGGATGCGCCTGCGCTCCGACGCGAGGGCATAGGTGGCCCTTTGGAAAATCGATGGCCCTGGTAAATGGAATGAACCATCTAAACCAGTGCCATCTATGTTTTACCAAACTCACCTAAAAAGGACACCTATGCGCAAGGGTTTCGAACCCGGGTGAAAGTGTTCATGGCCACGGGGGACCCTGTAGTGGACATTTCGGGAACTGCAAACCACTTCTGAGACACCTGGAAATCTCGAGATGACGAACGGTTCGTGCCGAAATGGAAGGGGCTCGGAAAGGAAAGCATACCCTTGTTCCAAACAACTCTGAGCAAATGAAATTGAGTAGAAGTAGACGTGTGACACCTGCTCTGTCTGAGCCAAAGGAATGGAATATAGAAGATCGGCTTGTGTTTTGTTTGTCCTGACCTTGCTTGAGCTCCCCAACAAATGCAAAGTTGCTGTAATTTGCTTGGTCTAACCGCCCGAGCAAATCGGGGGCGATGGATAAACCGCTGTTGCTTTTAGTTGAGTCTTACCCCTCATACCGAAAGCTAGAACGTTCTTATTTTTATTTGGGTCTTGCCCCACAGTGGGAAAGTCGTTATTTAGCTCAGTCTCATTGCGCAAAGTGGTTCGGATGACTAGGATTCTTACGGGCCCGAAAGAAGTTCCAAACTCGGAATTTTAGTTGAGCCGTACCAACCACAGCAACACCCATGATCTCAGAGTTGACTTTTATCCCGTGACAGGTTGCCCTCTCCAATAGAGAGCCTTAGCCCAAAGCTCTAGGTGAGTTGTAGTATTTCACCCACCTGAAATAAGGTGGTTGGGGGGCTATTCCCCACATAAACCACCATTTGGGGTGAGGTCTTCCCCACACAAACCATTTGGGGTGAATTCGGTCGTGTGAGGTCGCTATAATTCACCCAGAAAGTTAGACCGAGTTCTTCCTTTGTGGCCGGCCAGTGCACTCCATGCGCCCACCTCCGGAAGCTCCGCTGGAGCCCTGCGCCTCTCGAAGCCGCAAGAACCGAAAGCTTGGTTCGGGGTCCATAAACGGTCCAAGTACTTTCTGATACTGTTGGTGGACGCCTAAGAAGTCCTAGAATGATGATTCCCCTGCCAATACCAACAAATGGTTCAACGTGGTGCGAAACGGATTTTGTCCATCCACAGTACTTCTAAGATTAGTTAAACGCGGAGATTCCCACTCTGGTGGTTCCATGCGGAGATTCCCCGAGGCGGGTCAAAACTCGAGCATGAACCGCTATCCAGATGTTCGGCCCGTCTAAATGGTTTGACCGCCACGGCAGCACAAGCAGAAAAGGCATCCAATGTGCAAAACAAGGAACATATGGTGCCTTCACTTAGGTGGGCGGGCAAACCTGGCATAAATATGTACATCAAAAATATGTATATACATATACATACATATACATACATGTATATATGGTCCCGTGTTCCGTGTTGCTACCCCCCCCCCCATATGGTACGGTAGGCCTCTGATCCCGGAAAGCCGGGGGGGCAGGAAGGGGGCAGAAACAAGGAGCATCGCCCTGCGACAATCCAAGCTCCACCCAAGCTCCTGGCCCAAGTCTTCACCGACACCCTGCATTTAAAAAGCAAGCCCCCTCCTGAACCTGCTACCTTTGTCACGTCACCTTTGGCTGGGTCTTTCCCCGCACACGCCCGGGCGGCTTCGAGCCACTCAGGACCAACAAGTCGAAATGATTCTTAGTTCGAAAGGGCACCGTGTGGTTCTCCTTGAGCTTTCTCCTCCCACACTGCCTGAATGTTCCCATCCTGTTTCTGATACACTCGAACATTGATGTGTTCCATGAGCACGAACTGTTGCAGCCCAAGTCGTGGTGTATGATCTAGGCAGCGCTAGGAAATCCAAAAAGCAAGCCCAAGTGAAGGCAATATTGAAGTCCCAAGTCGGCTCGTCTCGAAGCTCGGCAAGAGCGATCGTTTCAGCCGCTGCAAGATCTTCAGCGCACTGCGATTGCAGCCACAGACGGGATTGACGAACCACGCGGGCCCTCAGCTCTGCTGCCGCAACGTCGCTGTCAAAAACATGAACTGGGTGCACCCCTGCAAGGACCATCATGCCCATAGCCAGGCTGCGAAACAAGCAAGCACCGTCTGGCTCGGCACGCAGCAGCCAAAAAGGCCCAACCGTCTCAAGCTCCTTGGCGCGTTCTTTTGTGCACGGCGACAGCAAGTTCTCCTCATAGCCACCGCTCTGTCCAGGCTTGACAGCATTGGGTAGGATCTTCAGCAGAGATTCATGAGGCGTGATTTGCCGACCAGTGCAGTCTTCTTGCAAAAGCGCGGTCCCGCACTTAGCGACAGCACAGTGAACTCGCGAAGGCCACTGCCAGAGCACTCAAACTGTCCTGCGGTACTGCGTGCTCCTGCACAGAACACGGTCGCCAGTCACAAGGGGCGCGGAGTGCATGGTCTTTTGATTGTTCTTGACACTCAGCGCCATCTGAGCTCTTTGAGTGGCGGAGCAAAACAACTTCTGCAGCTGCTGCACATCCTCTGCGAACCGAGCGGTGGCCTTCTGGTAGACATCCACACCAATAGCCGCATGCTCATCGAGAATTTCAAGCCACTCTTGGTCTGACACTGCTGGGGCCGCATCCCCACAGACGGCCTTCAAAGTTCTGCTTTGCCATCTGGACTAAGGGGCCGCAGAGCTCGCCAGAGCGTCTCTGGCGCGACCCCTGTTGGCCGCCGCGGCAGCGCATTGAACGCTGACACGGCGCTCGTGAGCTGGTCACGATGGCCTCCGTGACTGGCGTCATCGCACTTTGTGTTTGTGCCTTCCTTTGCGTAGCGTGCCGTCTGTGCTCAGGTACAACAAGGTGTTGGGTCAAACACAAATTGATAGCTAGGCTGCGCTTCAGTCAGCCCATTCGATTGCGGGCGTCCAGGGGGAATATGATAGGGTCTGACATGCAAAGTCTGGAAAACCGCTTCCTCGACGACGCTTTTGAACTGGCCTCCATTATCTGACCAGCATATGGCCGGAATGTCCACCTCATGGTAATGTCGTAGCAGCAGCTGTTGCACCTCTGCCAAGCCTTTCCTAAGCTTGCAGCTTTGCATTGCCACAGAAACAAACAAGCACGTAGGGCTAGAATTGCTTCATGCTGCTTGTTTCGACCACGGCGCGCCTCTTGACCGACACCTCTTCGGAAAACTCATTCTGTCGCTTGATTGCAGTTTGATCTGAGCACCGCCTGCACGAAGAGCCCTTGGTCTTGGGCATCTCCCATTGAGTGACACTGAACAGCTCTTTGGCCTTGATCTCATGACACGTCTTACATTCCTGAGGTGTGGATCTTGGCAGCCACAGACCCCCTGGCAGTGCAAGATTTGCGCTTGCTTGCAGCACCTGCCCGCCACTGTGTGTCTGTGAAGTTGTCCCGTGGCAAGGTTTGGTACGTTTTGGTCGCCAAGGTTCGCTTGGTGAGCCTCTCGTCCACTGGCTGGCAGGTCTTGCAGATAGGCGTCTGACTGGCAAACTGGCCCACGGTGTACGCCTCCTTGCCACACTGCGAGCAAGTCTTGCTGACCTCCGCGGCCCTCGGAAAGCGGCTGTCCAAGGCACCCTCAATCAAATGCTGCACGGACTCTTTGTCGATGAGGTCAAGAGAGCGCTGGACAGGCTCTGCAGGCTTCTCAAGCGCCGGAGGTGCTATTGGCGGCACTTTCTCTGATCCAAGGCAAAGAATGTGAATGCGGGTAGGCATGTTTGCCCATGTTAACAATTGTATTCATGTGTATACATACATACATATTTATACAGTATAAATTTGATCCAGACGAAAGAACATATGCAAACTAGCTATGTGTGCTGACATACAAAAAGGTCTACATATGGGACTGTCCAAAGGTTGGTTAATATATGTATATAGGCCACTGCCATTGCGGCGCAATAGGTATGACTAAGAAACGTACAAAGAACTGACAGGCGCACTCTTGCGGGCCATTTCTTAGCTGCTGTTGGGCGAGCTATCCAAGCTTGTAGAGCGGCTGCTCCTTGATATTTTCACACACAAGAAATCCCACTGTTCGACACCACATCTTCAGCAAGTAACAAAACAAAACGGAATTGCTACGGGAATGTAACGTAGTTTTTACTTGACCTTACAACTACAGCGTAGAAACACGCAAGTGTCTGCTTTCGAAAGGGCAGGCATGGCTGGCGCAGCACTTTCGCTAAACAAATGCAGATTTCGCAGCAGACGCAGCACTTTCGCTTTGCGAGCAAGGACTGCCTCGAGCCCGCAGAGCGACCAAACAAAGGCCACGCGTGCGCATCTTATGCGCCACGTCCACGAGCGTCCCCGACCTAGCGCCGAGCTAGCGCTGCCAGTGGAATATGCATGATTTAGGTAGGGGGCCGCTTCATTTCGAAAAGGACAAACAAGATACAACAGGAATTATGCACATACTGTAGATAGCTCCCCTTGTCGGCACTTTTGAACGGATGTAGGTATGTGTATATTTATATGTATATATATAAAAATATCTACTGTATCTAGCTGGTGGCTACGTGTCACTGCCTGTTTGCAACATCACCCCGGAACTCTACTTGTCCAAGTCTCGACATGCAGAGGTACTGCCAGCCACTTTCTCAGCAGCCTTCTTGACGGTCAAGTCAACGTAGTAGCCCTGATTTGGACGTGTTGCCTGCCATTGGCTGGCCAGGCCCCGCTTGGCATCCTGCTCAGTGGCCCCAGGGTTCTTCTCAAAGTACGTACACGCCATACGCCAGTCTGCGGCCGACCGGTCCACGGTGATGCCAGCAGGCTGCGGTGTAGGCTTTGCAAGACGACTACCCTGCACCACGAGCCGCACCTGCGGCACCAGCTGCAAAAACACGGCCTCATCCAGGTCATGCGTGCTGCGGTGCACGATGCGAACTTGATGCGATTTCCCGGGCTTGCAATTACATGAGCCAGGAAGCCGGCCCTGCTGCTGTCCAGAGCACGCAGCTTTATCGGCACACAAAGCTTGCGTCAACTGCTGCTGCACCCACAAGGCTGTCTTGCGGGCCAAGTTATTTGGCACTACATACCAGGATTGAAAATGGCCAGCTGATGTCTCAGCAACGGCTCGCAGGCGGATCAGTGTGTCCCAACTTCCAGCAAAAGCATCCAGATCTAGAAACACTAATCTCCCGAGCAATGGTCGGACGAACACATGCACTCGGCTCAGGGATAACCACTGATGCAGTGAAGTCCTAACGGCCTGCGGCGACAGACTCTGCCGATTGACCAAGCACTGCTTCTTGTCTTGACTCAGCGCAGTGACATGGAAGGAGGAGCATTCAGGGAACGCACCGCAGAACTCAAGTGCGGCTTCCATGCTCCGCCATCCTCAACCGCCCACCGACCCATCAAAAGTAAGACATGAGCACACTATCCACGAAGCAGCTTTAGAGTTTGGATGGCCCCGCCATAGAAAGAAAGTCTTGTGTGAGTGGTGTCTGCCAAATCCCTCCTAACTGGATCCCACTTGTATGACAACACATGGCCAATCCTACTCATCGAAAGCAGTCCACCATGTGTGTCTGCTAGACCAATGTGCAAATCCCAAGGGCAACTTCATATTGATCAACTCTGAAGCTGCACAGAGAGCGTCCTAGCACAAGTCCTGCTGCACAAGCAAACCACAATGCTGACACACTGATGTAACACTTGATCGCATGCTCATCGAATCTGGCACGTCTGCACATGAAAAGGAAACTCTTGCAAATCATCTTGGCTCTCGTCCCTTCCAACCGTAATCGCAAGCAAACACGGCCCGGGCGACAAAACACTAAAGCCTGCAAAACCTGTCATCAACCTCGAAAAGGGGCATGCCAAGTCTTTTCTGTAAGATTCACTTGTGATCCACGAGCCTTGACAATGTGGGGAAAAACCAGGTCCATACTTGTCGAAAACCAGATGCCCTGGACTGGGTGGTACTTGTCTGAGTTTCGAGCAATGATGAGGTGGGCAAAATCCACATGCGAAAAGTGTCATCCGACGGATTCATGAGCACTGACCATGTGGCAGTAAACAAGAACCACATCCACAGGGGGGGGGGGAGGTTCTTTGTCTGACCGAGTACTCGTCCAGCATTGAGCTGTGAAAGTTGACCACAACCACAACCACAACCACAGGAGGGGGGGTTCTTGTCAGACCCATGACCATTGGGGGGGGGGGGGCTGGCAACGCTGTACCATATATATATATATATATATATGTAATATATGTGTATATATATATAGACAATGTGAATATAGATACATATATACACGTCATAGGCAGCGCAAGTCAGGAAACGCATGGGACTCAAATCACAACTGTGCGCGAGACATCTTTGGCCGGCTTCAAAAAAAAGAGCGAACCCCTGCTCCGCTGGAAAGCAAAAGGGAAGCCAAGAAGGACCCCAATTTGTTTCTAAGGGACGCTGAACAAGTTGACTGTTTGGTTTCCGGAAGGGGAAATCGAAGCTACTTGGGGCTCAAGGTGAAGGAATAGCTTGTACCAGCTTGGCTGGCAGATTATTGCAATGCTTCAGGGCGAAAACGTCTTGCGCAAATGCGAAGCTACTACCCTTGCTTCCAACAACCTGGAACCCTTAGTATGGAACCCAGCAAAGGGTCCCTTAGCGGACAATGGCCTTAGAAGCCCCCAGTCAGGTTCCATGGTAGTGGATGGAAGGGTAAACCGTGCTACTCAACCACTACTCAACCACTACTCAACCAACACGTTTAAAAAAAGAAGAGAAAAACGATTCGGCCCCAACAGCTCATGCGTGAAAAGACCATGCAAGCGTCTGTTGAACATGGAATCATGTGAGACCCCCTCATGTCCTCCTGGTGTCACATGGTTGGCAAGAGCTTGGCGACATTGCAAGAAAGGCGTGAGAGGTCGGCACCTAGCTGGGGGATCTAGTCACGCAGTCCACCTTCCCGATCGCCTCCTGCGAGGCCTTCCGGAGCACATTGGCCACGCTGTCTGCCAGCACCTCAGCGCAAAAAAGGCAAAAAACCGGCCACAAACTCGGGCTCCCTGGATACTTCTGTGCTTCTCTTTGTTTCTTTCCTATTTTGGCATGTCACGCTTCCACGGACATATGGGCTAACACCAACACACACAAGGTTTTCCTGCCAAAACCAACAAACAAAGGATGAACGTTTTTTTCTACCTAATTGGGTTGCACCTTGAAGCATCACCCTCAAAAGGCCAGCCCCAAGAGGAGCCCATCCCTGGTAGCTGACCCTTGGGCCACGCCAATCAGAGTGAGTTGCCGGTTTCGGGCTTGGATTGGATGGCCGGGCAATGTTTTGATTGGCACAGTTCTTGCCATGTTTCTTGTGTTAGTACTAGTAGTAGTAGTAGCAGCAGTAGTAGTAGTAGTAGTGGTGGTAGTAGTAGCAGTACAAGTAGTAGTAGTAGTGGTAGTAGTAGGAGTAGAAGTAGTAGTAGTAGTAGTAGTAGTAGTAGTAGTAGTAGATGTAGTAGTAGTGGTAGTGGTAGTAGTAGCAGTAGAAGTAGTAGTAGTAGTAGTAGTAGTAGATGTAGTAGTAGTAGTAGTGATAGTAGTAGTAGTAGTAGTAGCAGTAGCAGTAGCAGTAGCAGTAGCAGTAGCAGTAGTAGTAGTAGAAGTAGTAGTAGAAGTAGTAGTCGTAGTCGTAGTCGTAGTAGTAGAAGTAGTAGTAGAAGTAGTAGTCGTAGTCGTAGTAGTAGTGGGAATAGGCAGTAGGCCGTAGCCACCTTGGCACTTGGGAGGTATTGAACGGGTCTTGAACGCGAATTGAACGGTCTTGAACGAACACCCATAGGAGAGTGCTGCCGCCCGGCTGCACGTTAGCCTCTGAAATTCGGTTTGGATCGCTCGCGCATTCAACATTGCCTTCTGTAGCAGAAGGAACTTCTTCATTGAATTTGGATTCAGCGTTCAAATAAGACTATTTTGCGTTGCATTACTTCTGAAGTTCTCGAAACGCCCGCGGGGGGGCCGGCGGGGCACAAATTCTGCGCGCCGGAGCGTGTGTGAGGCAGGCGCTGAGCACACATACCCACATCTCTCATTTGCAAGGGCTGCTCGGGAGTCTGATGGATTAAGCGTATTGAACCACAGGTATTGAACGGGGTATTGAACGAACCTGTTCAACGGGGTATTGAACGGCAGGGTCACCCCTTCATACCCTAATACGTGGGGGTTTTGACTCACAGCCATTTAGAGGCAACAGCAAAAACATAATCCGTGGCTCCGATTGGGGAACCAACACCTGAACACAACATCCCTACAAGCACGCGTGGGCGATCAGCCCACCCTTCTCTCACCCTGCACGCACACACGCCCTCACGCAAGCACATTCATGTGACGGGTCTGGGTACTACACACATACACATCTTCGTGACATGTGCCGGAGGGTTGAGGCCACAGCCGTTTCGACGCGCATTCACACGCAACCAAGTGAAGAAGCAAGCGCTGACACTCGAAACAGTGAGAGCGAATGGAGGCCCCCACTAACCCAGCGTACTGCCAGGACCACTTGGGTTTGGTGCCAAAACTGGCGGAATTCTCGGTTTACAAACCCTCGCTTTTGGAGTTGACAAACTCAACTTTGCCCAAAGGTTCCAAGCCTCGCAGTCGAGCCGGCGAGCCTTGAAGGTGGTTTTGCCAGCTTCATCACTGCCGTCAAACACGCCGAAAGCCGCTACAAAAGTGGTGCCAGGCATGAATGACACCATACTACGGAATGGGCAAAGAAATAACAAAGCCCTGGAGAGTTGGGGCCAGGAGCTCTTGTCTGGGGCTTTGTTCGTTGCTCTGGTGGTTGTTCTATATTCCTCTGTCTCGAAACGGCCATTCTTCGCGAATAAAAAAGTTACTTTCGCGAATCTTTCGCGGATTCATCGCCGTGCCCTTTTCCTTGCTCAAGTCAGAAAATCGCTGATTTTAAGTGCCAGCGTAGTGCGCGAAATTCGATTCCCCAACTCCCGTTGCGCTGTAAAGTCGCAACTTTCATCACAGGGGTAGTGCATGACATGCACGGGCTGGAAAGACGCAGCTTTTCGTAAGCCGTGCAGCTCCAGCTTAAAGTCGCAACTTTCCAGTACCAAGCTGGTATACTGACAAGCGCGGCGCTCAGAAAGTACCTCCCCTTACAATCGAAGCCGCTTTCGCAGGGGCTTTCGCGGATCTTTCACGGAACTTTTGCGAAAAACCACCCACGTTTCAGAGCGGAAAGGCGCCGAGTAAACACCCACAGGCACACATACACAGGCTTGGGGCACTAACCAGCCAAGCAGGGTATCAAACTGTAGCCTCACCAGGCTTTTTCGGCGCAACATCAACAAAGTGTTGTAATCAGCGCAGAAGGAAGGCTCAGCAGCAAAGATGAATGGTTTCACATATCATTGATTTACAGTTACGCAAAACTTTCGCGAGAAAAAAAGTTACTTTCGCAACTCCATCGCGAATCTTTCGCGGAGCTACCTCAACCAACACCGATGGTCACCGAATACTAAACTCCTTACAAGGACCTTTAGAACGACTCCCGCATGCGCAATGCAGCCTGAATGTCAAAGAAGAATAAAAACTGAACTGGTTGGCCATTTGCAGACAAACTGGGAACACGCCAGTTCAGCAGTCAAGTGCAAACAAGGAAGTTAGAATCACCAGGAGGAGTCTGCCCACCTTTCAAAAAGAAAACCGGGTCGCTCTTGGCCGCAAGGACACATGTCTCCCATTCGCCCGTAGCGCTTTCGGCGATTTGCTGAGCGCCGGGCCCACTTCACTCCTGCCTGTGACATTACTTTCACCTGGCGCATGCGCTGTTGTGTTTTTCTCTAAGGTCTTAGTTTGTCTTTGGCCTAAACAGCAAAAAAACATTTAAAAAAAAAGACCCAGCCAAATGGCAAACGGGTGCCCAATCTAAAGCGTGCATCTGCCTAAACGGGGATTGTTCCACAAACAGGCACCTGGAATCTTAGAAAGGCAAATGAGCGTTTGCCGTCGCCCTTCAATTATACGTAAAATGTTTTAACTGGCCGATCCGGCTGCCAGACTTGGTTCGCTTTGAATGCTAGCAGGGTAAATTGCACACGTGCTTTGGCTAGACTGTAAGAACTGTCTGCAAGCGGTCGCAGGTTTAACTACAAGGGTTGTTTGCTTGGCCTTCAACAAAAAGGGCATGCCAAACACTCGGAAGGAAGACCCCAGCAGCCGCCTTGGGAAAAATGTGCAACAACATATGTGAGAGTGAGGTTCAAGGGATGCTTGAGGTTTGCAACAGTACACGAGCAAACACATAGAGTAAGATGCGGCGCAGTGCTACGATTCATGGGAAAAATGGATTTGACCCA